TGATGTCAAGTTTTCAAAAAGCAAACACGAATAGCCAAGTGAAGTGCCGGCATTAGGAAGAAAGAGTGTTTTGTTTGCAGCGCTGCCATAGATTATTGACATAAAATGGTAGTCTCAGATTATTTTTAACTTTTTAATTTAGTTTACTTAACTGGAAGTGTCCGTCACAATCTAAATACTGATAATTATCGCAAAAAATATACTAAGAATTATCATAAATGCCAAAATAGTGTTGGTTCTTAGACCAAATTTAACAAGAATATACATAAGTTTGACGTTGCATTAACAATTGTTTCATTCCACGAGTAGTTCCAGTTCCAAATAAGAGAGCCCGCAGATCGTACTGTTTGACTTGTTAAGTTAACACAAGAAACATATTGATCTACTGAGGGGTGAGATAAGACACATGTGCGTGTATTATGATTATGAAGAACTCGTCGAGGAAACCACTAATCTGCACTGGGCACGAGTGGTGTTCTGCATTGGCCATAAACCAATCTGCCTATCCCATCCGTAGGAGAGATTTGTACCACAGATTACTTAATAGTTATTACGTTAGAGATAAATCACTCCCTAAAAAATTCGTATACCTACCGCGTTAATAGCCTACTTCATCTCGTCGGTGACCGCTGCGAGCTAAATGGTAGATTTGGAGTTAATATCGATTCGCAGCTGCGCGCTCTCGCTGCAATCGTAGGTACCCCCCGGAGGGGAGACATTAAGGTTGATGATGACTGCAAGTATTATTGGTGCCAGCCATTCTCACGTGGATCGGTAAAACTTACAATAGCAAATCGGTAGTATGTGCCACTCAAAATTGATTAAAACGCCTTCTCTCGACGAAATTCGGAAGCTCTCGTGAGCCTTAACACATTAGCCGTCAGAAGCGGTATTATCCCAGCAATAAACAGCTGTCTTGGCTCGTGAGCCCCCACTCAATAGAATTTAACGGGTTTCCACCACCAAGTTAAAGGACACATGATGTACCGGATAATGAACTTGTTTTTATTTGGAACACGAAACTGCTGTTTCTTAAATTTAAACGTGAGATGTTTTGGAACGAAGTTCCTTTTTCGATGGTATGGCAGATGGGAACAAGGCGAAAAATTTGCAAGATATTTTCCGTCATAGCCAAGCGAGACAGCTAGCTAGGCAGCTGACGCGTAGATAGCTGGGCAGATAAGGGGCGACCACTGAATACGGTGGCTGTGGACTGGGTTTAAATTTTGTTTAATAGTTTGACGGAATCGGGGGATCTTGTACTGACCCACTAAGCTAAGGCCCTACTGCGGTTTAGTGGGTATGATTTTTTTTGGTTTTTTGATGGAATAGGGAGAATGGGCGGTAGGTGGTATTTAAATATTTTTAACTTCGTAACAACCGAGTTTTCTAGACTCAGATTATTAATCTATATATAATTTAGAACTTGCGTTTTGTCATTTTATTCACGAACTAATTTAATTAGCATAAACTTATTTTAAAAGTCACTTAAGCAACCTAATGCAGCGAGAATATTAAAAATACTAAAGTGCTGTGAATCAGTTTTGCAGTGTTCTAAAATATTTCTGGAATAAAAAGCTTCACATGTAAGCAGTGTGCATAATTTCATTTAGAAAGCTAAACTATTATTTGTAATTCAGTAACAAATTTTATACGAGCAAACGAGATATAAAATGAAGTAGGATTGAAGGAAAAATTAAAACAGAACAATGTCTGAGATCTAACGCTAGTTTTCAATGGTCAATCAAAAAAGGCCTTTTATAATATTTTCATTAAAGATATAATATCTTCCCTACATTTTTTTAATGTGGTAATTATTCATGCTTAAAACCGCAAAGAAAATATGCATAAATTTTTAATTATATAAAGGCATAGCCATTACTTAAAATAAAGTCAGGGTCGTGATTATTTATATGCAGTCATTAAGAGAATTAATTAAAACTTCATACGCTACGCTACCCTAATCCTCTAGAAACTGCAGACAGCAATTTCATTCGTGAATGTTTTTAAAACCCACAGCGCACTGTACTCATTAAACGAATCCTTCTTAAATATATTCTGATTGTCACCTTGGATTTTTAGTACTGATTTCAAGAAGCGACTGTATATTAATTAAATATACTCAGTCGCTCAATTTGGTATCTGATGTGAATTTTAGCAATCATTGATAAAGTGTGTTCTAATGCTTTAAACTTCATCATTTTCTGAATCATGTTCCTTTCCAACTCGACCCCGTGCGTTACGTGTTGTAATGCAAAACAATAAGGTAAATAATACTGAAGACACACACATTAAGTAACGTCATTTTGGCTTTTGTTGTAGGTATCAATCCTTTCCACTTGCAGGTTTCATATATTATATTTGTCTTCCAATTTCGATTACTCTTTAACTTTTTTAATCGGTATATTAAGTTTTATCTTGGGCTATATACGGATAGCGCGGTCCAGAGTATGCGTACCCTCCACGAGTTGCTATCCTTATCGTATGCAGCTTTATAAGTCTATCTAATGTTTAAATCTAAAGAAAAGTTTACTAGAAAATAAGATATTGTGGGTTACATACAATACGAAGAGATGGCGCTGCCTTGCAGCCTAAGGCTAGAGAAATTTCGACGCGGCCGTCAGGGCCGCGGTAGCATAATAGATTTTTTTTCTAGTAAACTTTTCTTTAGATTTTAACATCTAGCTGTTGAATGCTTAAAAAAATAAAAACATATCTATCTAATGAGTTATTTCTATTCGTTTTCAAGTTAGGTAAATCGTCGATATCCTTTCACAATGTTTCTCATGTGTCTTATGCATGTCAATTAACTCTATTGTATTACAAATATTCTTATAACTATTAACGAGGCCTTATCGCTTGGATTGTTTTTTTTTCAGACTATCTTAAATATAGAGAGTTTCTTTATACTCAATCCATCCATACATCTGCTCGTGTCTTCTTTCAAACCACATCTTTCTGAAGATTTGACTCAACCAAAACTATAAATAGCATGACCGTGACCAAAATATTCCATAAACTGCGAATTAACATTTCTAAAATAAGATGAAGTAACTGAACTGTCTCTATTCAGAGACACAAACAAGTCGTCTAAATATAAAATCGTCATTGTGTGTTGCATAACCACTCTAAAAGCTATGGATGTTCAGACAGACATCCGCGAAACGGATACCGAGTGACCAAAACGAATCGTGAATTGAGAACGAAATTCTCATTTCAATCACTGGCCGCTTGTGAACTGTTATGCTAATCGGTGGAGGACATCTGCTTACCTTCCGTGTTTATATCAACATAATGTTCGTGGAAAAGTAAAGCATCAGATGGAGACCAACTCAAATTTATAATTTGCATACAATATCCTTTACGGGGTTGGATTGAAACCAGAAAAATATTATGCCATATTTTTATGACAGCGTATTTGATTGCGTATTTAGAACAACTGTTAAAAGCTTATGCGTTTCTGATTAGTGTTTGGGCTGAACTAAAAAAGTAGGTATCACAATTAAAATTATTGAACATTGAAATTATTTGCTATAGTGTGCTTTGGTCTTTCATGACATTTTATGCTTCAAAAACTTCACACAGTCTTTCTGGCGCACTGTGCGGACGGGTTTAAGGTTATTCAGAAGAAGGCTACCCAAACTGCCCATAAGTTGAAGATCCATGAGAAATGGTACATAATAGTATGTTGTTATTTTGTGCTTTTAATAAGTCCAAATTAATAAGGAGTCGAGTCAACAACTTAATCTACTCGCAATACGCATTTTCGTATAACTATTAAGTAAATTAATTTGAGTACTATCACCTCGGACACTACTCGTAAAACCTTTTGAACGGGTAATAAATATAGATGCTAATATTTTACTGTTTACCAAGACACAAAAGATATTTAATACGGTACGCGTAAATTGAATCTACTATTTAAAATCTGCTTTAAATTAATATAACTTTACAAGATATTTATTGTTTGATCTCCCTTTCAGGCAATGACATCCGTTAGTATGTTTTTTTAACCTTTTAGGTTACTTCAGGACAATGTGTTGACATCAGTTAGAAACAAGTGACCGTTTACCTTGGGTTGCATAGTTTAAGTTTTGTGACCGCTAAACTTGATAAAAGGTAGTCGTGTGTCCACGAAATATGAAAGTGGAAATGATGGTTGTGTGTTATGTATAACATTCGCAGTGTTTCTTCATTGGATGGGTATCTTGAAAAGTTTATTATTTCGAACTACGTAATTCGACGGATACGTTAAATGCCGCAATACTGGTTACTTCTGCAGCTATCATATTATCATGAGATATAAGCCCTTCTCCCTTAGTATTGGATCCGTAGAGTAGACATGTGCCCCAACAGTGAAGATATGAGTAGGCTGATGATGATAATAAAAGCTACCACTGTGCTATTAGCAACTGTTTGTTACAATTAGTAACATTCAAATATTCAGCAAAGGAAGCTAACATTCGAAAATTTTGTAATACAGCTCAGAGACAAACAGTTGTAAATACATATTTCGATAAAATGATGATTTTACTACGATCATACTTGTGTTTAGATACTATTTATCTTGTTTCAAGTTTACTCTTAATTTAAACCTTTAAGCTTCCTCAAATATAACAGCTTGAAATTATCTTTTGTTTTCAGTGATCCTCATAGAAAAAAATAGTGAAAATACAAACAATCCTGTTTAAATTGTTACTAACAGTCGCTAAAGCAATGTGTTCGTAAAGCAGTGTAACCAACTTTAGGATTTTCCGCCGAAGTTTAGGAGTTTCCTCCTAAACTATAATTAGAACAGGGATTTTGCAACCACTTCATTTTTAGGAGTATTTTGCTAACCAACTATTTAATTGACCTTTTCTTTTCGTCCATAACTGCAAGTATATCTTTGTTAGATAACACAAACGCGAGGAGGATCTGAATAGTTTTTACCTTAGCTATTAACGTTGATACTTTTGAAAGTTGGTAACATTGCTTTTTAAAGTAAACTTGTCACTCACTTGTGGCGACACACCCAGCATCTTGAGGCTGGGCGGCACGTTGGCAAGCGAAGCGTGCGGTAAAGTCACGTGTCCGAAGTTCACCGTGAAGGCTTCGCACCACACCGCGAAATGGCCAATGTCAAACACCGTCAGGTCCTGAAAGAAATCATCATTGTTAATCTTTGTTAATATATAAGTCTGCGAACTTTTGCAATGGCCGTTCATCGGATGATTGATCAAAGAATTTTTTCCTCGAACTCCTCGTTTATTCGGAAGGCACGTCAAGGTCTGCATCTTCAGTTATTATCCCATACCATCAATCTGCATTGGGGCCACGTGGTGGGCTCACCAGATAAGGAAGGTCTATGTTCCATTAATATCTCCAACATTAATAGGCTGATGATGAAGTCAGAGCAAATGATTCCCTCCCACCTGATGGTAAGTTTCGAAAGAGACGTTGCGAAGATGGCTGATGCAGCAGTTTTACCAGACTGCACATTGCAAAAAATAAACTGTACCTTACAGAAGACTGATGAATGCTTATCTGGAACACCGTTACCGTTTTCGTTGACACACTTTTAATTTTCACCGAAAAGTCCACAATTGGCGAATATAGAATTTACTTATACTCCCAGTCCATAATGGGAAGCCATAATATTATCCCATTTACAAACACCGGACTTATCAGTCGTAATCCCTGGCGTTGTTAGCGAGCTTTCGTATCGAATATTCGAATATAATATTCAGGTACTGTCCGCTATGCGAGCCACGCGGTAACAATCTATGCAACTATAAGCTTTTCACAAATACTAGAAATCGGTTCGCTTGACCATGTACCAATAATATTCATTACTTAGCACGGAAGCATTTGCTCTGTCTGTACGGATAGGTTTGGTATTTGAACAGCTTATTTTAAAAAACAATAATAAATTTAATGATAATGACTAATTGATATCATAATGTAACAAGCATATGGCATCAAATGCAAGTATTGGCTTTCATTATTAATAAATAACAATATTTAAGACTTTATCAGACTATTAGGCAAAATATAGGATCATTTAGAAAAAACTGATCTATTCTAACTTGATTCCTAAGTAACACCCACATGGACGTTGTCACTTTATAAGAGGTCCTAATTGTAATTTTTATTACATCCTCATTGTTGTATCATATCAAATCTTATCATCTAGTAAACTATTTACTTTTTATTTACATAATATCCGAGTTTTGTACTCCTAATAAATATAAGTAAGGTATAATATAAATAAGGTAGTGTCGCCGAAGATCGCCCGGCTCCTAGGATAGCCCACTTTAAAAAAAATACTGTTATATTTATTCTAAACATTTAAAATTTCGCGGGTTTATACTACTAGTACCATAGACTGAGTGCAAATGAGTTTTATTACGGGCGCGTAGCAATTTTGAAGGCAGATTTGACCATGAAGATGAAGGCAGATTTGAAAATGCCAAAAGCTGTACTACTTTTTTAGATATCTTGTTTCTCAAATAAATATATTACTACTTTTATGTTACCATTATGTTGTTTCTTTACTTTACTTATCTGCAGGATTTTACCTTATCTGCAAGATTTTACGAGGTTTTGAAATTAAGTGGGCCTTCATTGGTGTCTGTATCTTATACCTTCCTAATAATCCTAAACTTTTGACGCCTTCTCACTTCACATTTCGATGGGCATACAAAGTATATATTTTTTAAATTAAAAAATATCTGTAACAGTGTGTTGTTCGACATTGCGCTACCCGAGCACGTCTCAACAGGCTTCTAGGCATTAGCCCCGGATAGCTTAGATAAGAACTAAGTTCAACTATTCCAGACAATGTTATTAGGCAAATCTACTCAACCCTATTACTTCTAAATAGTTTTAGTAATGAATAAACTCTGGTGGCTTACCTGAGGGACCGAATTTAATCCATAATCAGCCTGCTTGTTCTATATTGTACAGTTTCTTTTTTGTTCCCTAGTCAAAAGCTCACAACGGAAACTAATAAGATTTGTGTTGACTCCTTAATAATAAATTAGGAATAAATAAATACCTCTAACACAAAACTAAAGTGAGCATTCTAAAACTTGTGGCATAGGATACTAGAGCAATGGATAAAAATATAAAATGGTATTGGTACATAGTTTATTATATTTTGTAGAAACAGGTATAAACAACGTTAGCTTAGGTACAAATACTCCTATTATATTTTATACTCGGATTTAAACCCAGGGCCTCTAAGTAGGCGACACCTAGAACCCGAAGTACATACCACTCGTTCGAGTTCGCACAAAGCAATTGAGTAATCGCGACGGTGGCACCGGAATAGAATGTACGGTCCAACATTTACATCAACCGGTCGTGAAACAAACATGGGATATGAAGGTCTGTTGGTATACTGGTTGGTCTAAGGAGCTCGATGGCCCAGGTGGTTAAGACATTCGGCCTACGATAGTGAAAATTAAGCAACTTTCACAATGGTCGGACATTGGATGGGTAACCAAAACCTTATCATCTCGAGCTCCTCCGTGCTTCGGAAGGCCGTTGGTCCCGGCTACATCTGCAGTCCTTAACACCCACCAATCCACACTGAACCCGCGTAGTGAGTCACGGCCCAGTTTCCCCACCCCATCGATAGGGAAGTCCTGTGCCCCGTCAGTGGAGACATAAATGATTATGCTGGTATACTCACCCCGGGCAAGGTCAGGACGATGGTTTTCTTGTCGTACTTTCTGAGTGGCACTTCTTTCCCGTTCTCGTCAGGGATCCGGATGCCTTGAGGGGAAGGTGTCTCTCCGCGACCCACCCAGAATTTGGCATCTGTCGTCAAATGGGAAAGTCACAGTAAGAGGACGATTTTTATAAACTCATGAACTTAGTATTAATTACTTCTTTTTTCATGCACACCAATAAATTTAATAATACATTTTTGAACGGTCTAGTCTACGTAACAATTTTACATACAAAAACATCTACTGCACTTTTTTTTGTCTATGATTTCCCTAAAGATTTTTGCCGCTACTGAAATATGAAATTATTGGTTTTACAATATTCTTGTCGTTTCGGAGCCTTTACAAGCTCCATAGTGACAAGGATGCCTTAATACCCGTTCATATAGTGTTTTACTTACCACTGGACTTAAGTTTAAGTGAAAGGCTTTTCAATGTCGCTCCAGCCCCAGCTGTTACAATAAATAAACCGGACAAGTGTGAGTCAGACGCGCCCACCGAAGATATCATGTAAAGTAGATACGCAACATGAACGGTCGTATCTATTTTAACGTTAATCGTCGCATTTTCAACTTAAAAATATGATTTTTCAACTTCAAGAGCTTCAAGGGACGTAGACTTTAGTATATGGTTTAAATTTTAACTCGATACCTCCACGCATTTCCGAGATAAAGGGTCTTAGATATAGCTGTATATATATTAGGTCTTATAGACACATAAACGGACGTATCTTTTTTTAAGTTAACTTGTCAGTACCGTTTTTTACAACTTGTACTGAATACTTATATGGTTTAAATATCAACTCGATACCTCCAAGTTTTTTGCTTTTGAGGTACGGAACCCTAAAAAACTGAGTTTTAACCATAATGCATCTTTCCAGTTAAGTAAACTAGCTCGAAGGAGGTCGAGATAAAATAAATTGACATAATCCGATGAGCTGCAGGAGCAGAATATGCATAACATTCTCGATTACATCCCGAAACCGCTATATAACCACTGCTCCATTATAAAAAATTATAAAATAATCTTTATCAGACACATAAATCTTTAAAAGTATGTTCATATGTATACATACCTATATATTTATAGTATTGTATAATATTGAAATCTGTTTCAATATTATACAAATAAATACAGTATTGCATTTTCGCAGAGCGCTTAGCAGATGTTAAACATTCATACATATAATATTTAATAGAATAGTAATAAAAAATATACATTAAGAAATAAAATTATGTTGCAGCAGTGAACGGATACTTTAACTTGCTGAAATCACTCCGTGTTACTATTAGACCAGTAACGCTCAATAATGCTGACAAAATTCGGTGCACATTATATCTTCCAGCTTGTAGTCATTTGCCATTAAATGTCGCCTCGCCAGTTAGTAGCTTTCACATGCCAGAATAGATGTAAGTATCACATTAAAATATTTACAGAGCTCCACGGGTTTGGTAAATCCCACTTTAATATAATAAATGTGAAAGAAAGAAAATAAAAATATTTGTTATTGAGTCACGCAAAAACGGCTCAACAGATTTGGATGAAATTTGGCACACATATAGTTTAATTACCTGGATCAAGACATAGGATTTTTATCCCGAAAAAATGTTATGTTTCCGAGGGATACTCAAAAAAAATCAGTTAAAGTGGACGAAGTCGTCGGAGTCCGCTAGTCAGCTTTATACGAGTATATATGCAACTAACTCACTCACATTTATCACTATGTGATCTGGAATAAACTGTTAATGCCTTTTACAAAAAACATAATATTAAAAAAATATTAACGGTAATTTATTGCCAGTACCTCACTCGATAAGCAATCATACAAAATACGTAAAATCATGCTGTACCCGTAGCACGAAAAATTATCGAATTCGAATAGTCTGTCCGAAATGTCAATGTCAAATTTCGTATGGAAACTTGAACAGCAGCCTTGTCTCCTTTAACCCAGACATTGGCAGAATCGTCACGTAAGATGCAGTCATAATCACCAAATATTGTATTGAACAGCAGCGCCATAACTGGCGTAACAAGGAATAAAAATCAATACACATTTGACAATAACATTCCGCACTCGAAAACTATTCGAATTCGATATTGGTTCGTGCTAAGGGTACAACTCGATTGATATTGTGAAAACGTAATCACCGCACTCCATAGATACCATCGGGCATAAACCCTAATTAATCATCGCCGTAGCGCAGGTATTTGATGATGCCATAGATCAAACGGAACGGCCGCCGACAATGCATCGTACGCCCCTGAACGGGCCGTAACTCATACGTGATGGGTAAAAACTCGATAGGACCGCGCGTAAACGGGAATTAGGCGATAACACGAGCCGCAACGTCTCAATGACGAAAACAACACAGGCTGAAACGACGTGCAGTACAACAAGACTACAATGTAGTGATGAAGAAACGCGAAAAAAGGAGAAAAGAAAGTGATTTTCTTAGGCTTGGTAAAATCCAATAACTAAGCGGCAGGGCGTGGGAGCGTCAAGCCTACATTGTACAGGTTCCTGAGATAAGCGATGATCATTTTTACCTTTGCGCACCGCCGTTAGATGCCGATTACTGACAATCGCCGGCGTGTCCACGGCTAGTCATAGCAGAGTGCCGTGACTACTCCCACCTCCCGACACACATCTTGGAGACCTGGGTCTCCAAAATATTTGCTTATTATCTGGTTATTAGTGAGCCCTGCCAACTTCGCTGAGTCTCAGAGCTGGATGAAATCAGTAGGAAAAAGTCCGCACTTAAACCACTAGCCTTTTCGGATGTTATAAAAAAAGTATGCTCGCACTTCCTAACAAGTTATTAAAATATTATTCATCAGTCAGATCACAAATGAACACACACTAAAACGAATACAACATTCCTACATTTGTTAATTTTGAACTGATCTATTAATAGTGGTTGTACTGTAAGCCGCCGTCCTGTGGCTCTGTGTACGTTGTTGGTACGGTAATGTGCCATTTGCCGGGTGATCACCATAACCATATCCGCCAGTATGGCCCGCGGGCTACCGACCTATATACCGGTGCGCCTTGGCTACACCAAACAAACTACGACATGACTGAACCCATAGTTAAAGAGAATTCGTTGTCAAACCATTCCATCATTATGACTAATATACTCTAGTATACTATAGGATTTTTGAATACAAATACGGCTATGCGAATCTTTAACATTGTGACGATGAGAGGTTGCTTAAAAAATATCCTATGTGCATCAGCCAGAATAATGTTACACCTGTATTAAAGTTTTATTTTTTGCACATAGCAGACATTGGTTTGACCACATAAAATGAGAAATAACTAATTAACAACTTAAGTGCTACTTTAAAGTTGATTTCGATAAGACAACAATTGAATAATAGACAATACAGTCAACAATAATGCCTCTGTGAAATAGGCGAGACCTTAAATATACATAAGTGAATTATTACATAATATATTGATACAATGTTTCAAGATATGTTTTTCATAATTTCTGAAATTGATGCACTTATTAATATTATTAACTAGCGGCCGCCCGCGACTTAGTACGCGTGGAGTTAGTTAGAAATAAAAGTTCACTCTTCGTTCCCCGTACTTGACAGCGTGTTAATATGTAGCCTATTTGTTGACCCGACTTATTAATATTCGTGTCAAATTTTAAGTAAATCCATGCAGTACTTTTTGAGTTTATCCCGGACATACATACAGACAAACAGACAAAAATTCTAAAACCTATATTTTTGGCTTCGGTATCGATTGTAGATCACACCCAAAGTATTCTTTTAAAAAAATATTCAATGTACAGTTTTGACTTTCCTACCATTTTATTAAATGTATAGATAATCTAATTAAAATGATTGACCATATAATCCATCAACGATTAACGATACATGTTGATATGAAAGACGAACTCACGTCGAATGAATTAACATTGATACCGCAATCCATTTATTTTGAAAGGCCCCAATATGAAATGGTCTCGGTGAAATGACGAATGCGAGTGGAAAACTATTAAAATCGGTCGACGCGGGCAACCAACGCTGCGGTATTATATCACACCGTGATTGAACCAGTCGCAACAAACGATTTTATTTCATTTACACTGACGAGCAATGGAAATCGCTTTCGATTTTTTACTGCTGAAGAGTTATTTCTTTTGGTTACAGTTCAAACCACTACAATAACAATAAAACATGCATTTGAAAAAACAAAACTTTTATTGGAGTGTTATTTGTTGTTGTGTTATTTAATTATCAAAAATTACTTGCGGTTTGACAAAGACAATGATAAAGGTCAATAATTTCCAGAACTTATCTGTTGTTGGCAAGTGAGATTGGTACTGTTACTGAAATGACACATCTGATAAAAGCTGTAATGAATTTACGTTATCTACCATAATAAGAAAACTCATGGAAATTATTGACCTTTAACATTGTTTTGTTCAAACCGCAACAAATTTTTAATATTAGAGCTAAAGCATGGCAATGTTTACTCATAGTGTTACACAATCGTACCCTACCGCACATAAACAGTGCAGGCATCTCATTAACCGCCAATTAATTGTAGGTGTATCATATTGCACTTCACTGCACACGCGGTATATTTGAGTCTATAATTGGTTTGCAGTGGCAGGCATCGAACCGCATAGATAACAGTCTGTCTATCCATATAGTCGAGCAACTTGCATACAAGCTACATACGTATTGTTCTTTTGATTCACATTAAAATGATTCCATCAGGAATGGACATCATCATGGACGATAGTTTGGTTTATTATGACAACTCTGAATTTTAAAGAAATTTTACTAGAAAAAAAACAACTATCCGGGTTGGTTGCGGGTTCGAATCCCGTCTGAAGTTTAGACCGAGTGGACTTTATTTTAAGTAAATTTTTCTTTAGATTAAAACATCCAGCAGTTAAATGCTTAAAAAATATAAATAAAAAAAATATTCCGACGAAGCAGCCTGTAAAGGTTGCGAATCGTCAACAAATAAATAAAGTTTCGTGCATTAACCCGTGAAAAGCTAGTTTTATTTAATGAGTGATGTGCGTGAAAACCCAAGGAACAAATAAATATAAATATAATAACTCTGAATTCTTGAAGTTTTTAACGTTTTTAAATGAATACGATACATGTATATTGGTCAATTAAGAAAGACTGCAGTAGCTAGCGCATTCGTCTGTGATCATGGAAGTAATGCAACATTCGCAATAGCCAATTATACGATAGGTGACCTAAGGTTTATTTTATCGAAGTCCTTTGTACTTAGGAGAGCAGGCTAAGCCATTGATCCCAGCTGCATCTGCAGTCGTTAGCGAACACCAATCAGCACTTGGCCCGTTTGACCAATGGGGGCATTATTAGACTGATTATGAAGAAGTATACTTCTTCCTGCCTACCTCTCTTAAGCCGCAGTGCGAGTACATTTATTTATGTTTTTGCGTAAACAGCAGTCATTCCGTGCTATTCTCTAAAATAAAGTATGACGCTGCAGCAGACGAAATCGTTTAACTTTGCTCGTATAGCGCTTCAGCAACGATGGAACTCAAATTTTGATATTTTTCTTTGTATATTGATATTCATCAATACCAATAGCGTCAAGTTCACGCCAGAGCCTCGTAACTTTGAGGTCCACAACTAAGTATCAAAATACAGATAGAATGATGAAGAATTGATCGGATGGTCTATGCTATTTATCGAAAAACAATAGTATAAATTGTCGTACTTATGAATATCTTGAACAAAAAATACATATTAGTCGGTAAACGATTATTATGTTGTTTTGTGTTGATAATATAATAAGTTGTGGACCCGATTTTTGGCACAAATTTAAGTAAAAGTTATGCCGCCTCATTAAAAAACGTAGAATAAAGTTAAACTTGGATTAAAAGTGATGTTGTCACTTTTGTTTGCTAAAAAGAAGATACAGACAACATTAGATTTAAACCAAGACTTTCTTTTTCGCGTTTTAGAATAAGGCGATATACGCCATACACGCTTCTAATTTGGCAAAACGAAAGTAAGGTATTGCCCGGCTTGGATTCACTTCGCTAGAACCTGTGAATATTTTTCGTTTTTCCAGACAAAAAACCCTATGTATGTTTTTAATATAGTACACAAAATACACGTGAACTATTAAAGACAAGAAAATCGTGTCATTTCATTCATAAGTACAGTTTTAAAGAAATTTATGCAAAAGTATTTAGTGATTACTTATTTTGACAGTTGCTGACACCGTGGACTGATTGATGGAGGCTAAAGAGCGAGATGTAATCTGCGTTATGAATGAGAGTGAAAGAGACTATTTTAGTGCGCTCTATTGGCGGCTGTTGCCAAGGGAAGTTGGGACGGAGACTACTTGTGCCATTTTTTTAAATGCAATAATGTTGGCGTATATCCTGTCTGTATGTAATGGCTGAGAAATGTCAATGAAAGTGTAATACGCCCTTACCTGGAGCCTCTCCGTCGTACGAGAAGTTGGGCACGAGCAGTGTCTGCGCGTCTACCACCACCACAGGGTCGGAGGAGACGCCGTGCACCCCGCGTAAAGCGCCAACCTTCGCTGGCTTCGGGAACTCCCCGTCGCGAGGGATCGACACGTCGCCGAAGTTCACCTGAGCGACAAGGAAGACCATGAATATACTTATGCGTTGACAATTTCTGCACACACATGAAAAATAATCTAGGAACAGTAAAAAATAGAAAATTTATGTGGCTACGTTGTTTGAGAGTATATTACTTTGCTGTGCTTAAAATCAATCGTATGTTTAGGCCACAAGATTCTTCGTCTAATGTTTGACATGAAAATGTCCATAGGTACAAATATTTCGCGTGCTAAAATATGACAAAATGAATATTATATATGGAACGTTCGCTTCCCTATCATCCAAATCAGGAGTCGAATCATTCCCCCGAATTTACATCTGATCTCTTTATGATATATAGCGTATTTTGTATGCAAAAATGTACCCGCGTGAAATCGCATCAGTCACCCGGGTAAATTCCACGGCCGGATCACCGTTTATCATGCCCGCCATAAATTTGCGCTGGGTGTTAGGACCCGGGTACACCGCGCTTACACGACCGTAATTTGAATGTATTGCGTTTGCCATTTTTTCCCAGGCACAAATTTCATTAAGATCAGGTCAGCACGGCACTGCGTTTTAAAATAAACACAGACTTTTCTCTTAAACGTTAAGGTACTAAATATTATACTTTCATGTGTGAGTAATATTTGTAGTAACTAAGGGAACCTAGCCGGATTAGCACAGTGTTAAAATTAACTTAGTAGTGAACAATGGAAGTATAATATCAATATCCATACTTTTTATCCGTGCGGTGACGGAGAAAGAATACTACTCACCGCCCTTTCTCTTCTCGCGGGTGTCATAAAAAGTGAGTGAGGGATATCGGAACTCTATTCTATCCACTCTTCTAGTGGTAGGGTGCCTAACACCCGCCTGGTATGATACCACCGCACTCATGATGAAAAACCTGTAAAGTGCTTCATGCGAATGTTGGGTTCAGCCAGCGTACAACCAGAGCTTGAGTGGAAATTGCCGCGACAGATTCGGTCCAGCCGAGGTATTCGTCGAACCAATGAGGTCTGCATCGAACCACCGGTCAGGGAGACCCGTAGAAACGGCTGTCCCGCTGGCCGCATGGCACAGTATAAGGAGAAACGGAAGAATCTTGTCGCTGAACTCAATCAGGCTTTGGACCATATATCCGAATTGGGTACCAGGAACTTGGTGGAGTTCAATGCCAAGAAAACCCAGGTTTGCGCTTTCACGGCAAAAACATCGCCATTCTTTCCCCTTCCCTCTCTTCAGGGCACAACACTGGCGCTACAGAGCTACATTACCATGCTCGGTATGGAAGTTCGCTCAGAACTGAATCCAAAAGACTACATCGAAACCGTGATCAAAACAGCTTCACGCAAACTGGGAGTTCTGAGCAAGGTGCGGCGTTTTTTGACGCCTGATCAACTGTGCGTGTTGTACAAAACGCAAGTGCTGTCCTGCGTGGAATATTGCTCGCACCTCTGGGATGGCTCCGCTAAATACTTACTCGATGCCTTGAATAGGTAACTAAGAAACTCGAGGCTCTATAATTACGCCGCAATGTGGCATCATTAAGCGCAATCTACCGACTATACTTCGGCGAGTGTTCTGAGGAGTTATCCTCTCTAATCTCTCCATCACCTTTTCTTCAGAGGACCACGCACGCTGGCCTGCGTTGTCACCGACTTACTGTGGCCACTATTCGTATACGAAAAAAGAAATTTGGTGACTCATTTCTTTGTCGTACTATTCGCAAGTCGAATTCTTTGCCCGCGCACGTTTCCCTCCTTTCTACAATCTGGGGTCCTTTAAGAGAGGCGTGAAGAAGCATTTTTGCAGGCCGGCAAAGTGAGGATGGTTGGTTTGGCAGTTTGTAACTGTTGTACTAGCTATCTTCGCGTTTGGACTCTATCACCATTTAACATCAGATGTATACTAGTATAGTTAAGTCGCTGAACTAACGCACATCCTTCAGAGTGTGCCCGTCGGGGAGGGATATCGTGCCGCCCTCACCGCGGTATCGCCGCAGCGGACCCGTGTCGCCGTGTTTGTTTCACCAGTCACAGCATGGACTCACCGAGTAATCGTCGCACCACACGCTAAACCAGCGCACGTCCTTCAGTGTGTGCCCGTCGGGGAGAGATATCGTGACGCCCTCGCCGCGGTATCGCCGCAGTGGGCCCGTGCCGCCGCGTTCGTCACGCAGTCGGGTTGCTCCCGCCGCCATTGGAGTCTTGGACGTACCCACATAGAAGTATGCGGCTGTGAACAAAAACAATCATTAATACATAATAAATAAATGTATAGCCATGCATGCACCCAATTTAACTACTCCATTGTTAGTGGAGGTTAAGAAGACATGAGAGTTAAAATCGAAGACCTCATCCACCACATACTCTGGAAAGTTATTAATTTGCTCATCATTTTCGTCTACATTTTGTGAAGAGACTTCTAAAACGTTTTTGTAGTATGCAAATAGACAGATATTTTACCATAATTTTCCATCCTGTCCTGGTTTGTTTATTTTTATAATAACTGCTCAACGGCCCTGGAGTACTGGTACGTGAAGTTTCACTTACTTTTTACCCGACTGTTTTCTTCCAATTTTTTCAACAAAAACAGTTATTATAAACTCTACTCAACATGCTCGCGTCACGAAACAAAGGGGAAATGGCAGCCATCTTAGACCAATACCATGTTCTAATTGGTCAATATGGACTTGCCCGAGCTGTAATTGGGCTCACGGGGATTTGAAAAAACTCAATGAAATTGACCCTTATTTTCAAATAGATTTACCTAAATTTGAAAGGCACATAATGAATCAGTTTTTAATTTCGAATTTAGCGCTATCCAAGCGAGCGAATTAACAATATTCAATTTTTTATGTATGCAGAAGTATTAACATTACCTATTTATAGAATAAAAAGAATACAGTAAAAGCTATTAATATACCTACTAAAAAGTAATATTAATTCGACGATTCAGTATAACCATATCTATACTGCGATTGGAAAGAAATTCACGCGATGAATTCAAAAAATATTATGTCGTGAGTTAGTTTTGGAAATTACACCGGAAGGAACTAACAACGAAAATTCGAAAAGTATAATTTTACAGAATATTACTCTAAATTTATTTAATTAATTTTTCTATTGTGTTTCTTTTATTTATTAAGCCTAAAAACTCCTAAAAGAATATTTCAAATCAAGGCTGCTCAGTGTACGGAACGTTTTAGCGTAGAAAGACCCGAGCGACGGCGTCTTACAAGTGGTCGCACCATTCTCAATACGACATTTTATTGTACCTGAAGGGTGCTTTTAGTTTTCTCTGTGTATATAATTATATATTTTTGTTTGGTTTTATTATAGGCAAAAGAACCGCGTATACGCGTAACACTCTAGTCCTGGGAACGACAGCGGCGCACGTTACGTAAACCAAAGCCTCAACAACAGCATTCTTCCCATCGGAAAGTGGTGACATAACCAAACCACTCATTAACTAAATAAACCATTATACCATGCTTACCGATTTTAATATTTTAAATGCGAAAGTGTAAATCTATCCGATTAATTTTGTTTTTTTATATATACCGTTTACGTGGCAGACATGCATGCGGCCAGGGTATCAATTCTGCTACGTTAAAATAATAATTGAGTATTAATGGTATTTCAGTAGTTTTGATGTTTGACACAGTTCATCATTATCATGAGCCTATTATATCCCCACTACTGGAGCACAGCCCTTCCCAATTGATGGAATAGGGAGATTGGGCCATGACCCTCTACGCGGGGACAGTGCGGATTGGTGGGTGCTAACGACTGCAGATGCAGCCGGGACCAACGGCTTAACGTGGTGCTCGAGAAAGTAAATTTTGGTCACCCATCCAATGACCGACCACTGCGAAAGTGGCTAACTTCAACGGTCGCAGCTAAAAGCGCTAACCACCTGCGCCATCTAGCTCCTTGAACTTGAAATAGTCATTTTTACTAAAACACAAAATTACCTATTCGTCATTGTTATATATTTTTTATTTTATTTTATATTAACAAGAATTTTAACGTTAGCGTAGCGGAATCGACACCCTGATGGTAAATAGTTAACGCAGTCTACGGACGTTTGTGTACCTAGCTATGGTGCAGTGAGTAAGCGTCGCCTCACCGTACGCATTGTTTGCGCGCGGCGCGTAAAAACGTTATTGGCTGTGACTCGAATGTATACAGGATGTTTTATTGGTATTTTTATTGAATCGTCAAATAATCGCTCTTTTGTTATTTTTAGTTTTAGGTATTATAGTTTTTAAGTATTTTTATATAAGATTACTAACTTGATCAAGTTACGATTTGTTCGTTCAACTGTAATGACTTAGTCCATATTGAAAGTGTGAGTGACTCTGCAAGTGAATTATATAAAATTTATTTTCGGACTAAGGGCCTAAATATAATAAAGTCAGCTTAGCATATCGAACGATAGGAGTTAAGTAAAATAAACCCTCTAACTTTATTCATTTCTTATCATTTCAATTAAGTATTTATATACCAGTAATAGAATTACAATGATGATGGTTTTATGTGTCTTTACGATTGCGTTGAATAGAACCTCTCTTGTTACAGGGGAGCTATCACGAGTACTCAACGCGATCCAAAAGAAGGAGAGAAAACGGAACATTGCTTTACGTTCTATGTAGCATTCTCTCGTTTCAATGCAATCGAAATGCGTTAAGAGTTCTTAATACACCCCCAAGGTTGGCATCTGGTCCGTCCATTTAACCCCCGCCTAGAAACTACTTCTTTCGTAGAACCACGTGTATATTCTTTAAGTACTCGATGCCAGAGTTTGTTTTCCATTAGCCGGAGAGCAAAATACATTGTGATAATAAAAGGAAGTTTTGTTTCGTTAAGAACAGATGTAGCCAGACATTACTGTGATGAAACTGCGATCGTAGCGAATAGCGAGCGAACTTAAGCAATGTTCTTTTAGTTGACTTAGCATCAATAAAACCTGTTTGGATGGACAGCTCATTTAAATTATTAAAATAAAATTTATGTTGTGAAAGAAAAAGGTTCAGAGAAACTTGAAAAAACCCCTTACCGAGGTAACCAAAGAAAATCGGCTCGGGGCTTTCGTGTGCTGTCATTTTTTTAATTAAGAATAAAAGAATATCTATTGAAAACTACAATCATTTCAGGACGGGGATAGCAAGCTCAGTCCTCACAGAAGACCTTACAGAAGACCACAGTAAAATAACACTTCCTTTTGGTGGTGGTGTGTTCGTGAATTTCCTCTCAATCTAGTTCTGTGGCGGGTAAAAGAACACGCTATTGAGACTCACCTGGCCCTACTCCATCGTAATGGAACCCATCGATGTACAGCGTGCGCGCGTCAACTGCGTAGACGGTTCCACGCACGCCGTGATGCAGCTCCGACAGGGGACCCAACCGCTTGCCTAAGTACCGGGCGCTGGAGCATGTGCCTGTAACAATAAGAAAATCAAAATAAATAAAAGCTAACGTGATGAACGTGGAACACTCGGTTGGAACAAGGTTATAAATGTACACAACTTGACAGACTATAAATGCACACAACACGAAAATATCTTACAAAAATTTTCGCCTAGCCCCCATCCACCAAATCCGTACCGTGCGTAAAAGAACTTCGTTCTAAAAATGCATCATCACAAGCATACTAATGTAACTTCTGCTAGAGCACACGCCTTCCCCATTGATAACATATGTACATACGCCCACCACGCGGGACCAATGCGGATTGGTGGGTGCTAATAACTGCAGATGCAGTTGGGACCAACGGCTTGACATGCCTTGAAGCACGAAGGAACTCGAGATAATAAATTTTTGGTCAGTCATCCAACGACCGGCCACTGCGAAAGTTGCTTAATTTACACAATCGCGCTAGGTTTATCACCAATTGGACACAAGAGACTGGACATGCATGTAGCTAGTTGGTGTAACTCAAAATTAGTTTCACTTATTTCTTCATCATCTGGACACGCCATGATTTTTACGCGTGTGCACATAGTGAAACATATTTAATTACTTTAAGGTTTTCGCCAACTAGACACACTGTTATTTTTTTGCAAAAAAAGTGTACAAACAGGGTAATTATCATTGTCCGTACTGTTCGCAAGTCTAATTCTTTGCCAGCGGACCTGTTTCGAGGAATAGACCCATGCGAGACACAAAATTTTTGGTCACCCATCTCATTACCTATCAGCCGTTGAGTAAGTTAACTTCCACAACTATAAACTTCACGTAAATATTAATGAGCCAGCAAGATCCTCTACACACGGAAATTTAAGTACAACCCTATTCTATTTTATAAGAAAGCCAAGCCAAAATATTCAGTAAACAAATAAACATGACGATCATGACAATCATAGACGTGACGATCATTGAGAAACAATAATCTCGTGATAGTTATGAATTTAACTGCCTATTTTCTAAATTAGCTTAAAATTCCTACTGAATACTAAATCAGATCGCAGAGAATCAAGATTATTGTTGTGAAAGTTTGTCTTTTTTTTTAACTCAATCACGTAAAACTGCATGGATGAAAATGTTGAGATAATACAACCTCATTCTGATTCTGACAAGCACTCGGTGATATCTTACCCTTAAAAGGATAATAAAACTATCGCGTTTGGACTTTATCACCACTTAACATCAGGTGGAGTAGAGACATTTGCCTACCTGGCTATATAAATTCATTCAACCTCATTGTATTCTCGAGTTTCAACAGGTAATGCATATTATGTGTACACTGACATCATATGAGATGTGATACAGATACAAATATCTAACTGTCTGCCAGTAGAAAGTCTTCAAGAAAGTGGCCGGCCTTAAATGGTCAAGAAAAAGTAAATGAGTATGCGACCTGATGCCAGTAACACGATGTGTTCTGCGAGTACCTTAAGCTTCGATAGTTAAAGGCTATTTTCCCTGTTCACATGGAACAAGATAAGTTGGTCGGTAACCATCGCTATCAGGAGAATGTATGTGAATTTTATTCTTAGGTTAATGTGTTGGTTAACAGGGCACGCAGCAAGGAGATTTTGTACATTAGTTATCTTACTACTACGAATTTTTACGAATAAAAATTTCAAACTTAAGTAGAGAATTGTATAAAAGTAGTTGGAGTACCAAAACTGAAGTATTCAAAATGTGACATTCAAACACACAAATGATCTTTTGGTTAAGAAATGAGCAACTTTCATATAATGTGGGTTTCTATATGAGCTAAAAAGTAAGGTTTTCGGTGTTACTGCAACTAGCACTGTGTATACGAAGAGTATTGCCTTGATATTGTACGTACATAAATTACAATGTCAAAACAAATACTTATATAATAAGCATAAATATTCGAAAGAACCTTTGCGGTTTTTTTATATATTCGCATTCAACTGATTTTTATATTTAAAGAAAATAAGCACCTCATGTAAGTAAAAAACCCATTTAACGACACAATAAGCTTCGTAATAATTAATAAAAACTGAACAAAGCTCATGCTAAGTAAGTATCGTTTAGCAGAAACGGCCATATTTTTTATAAGAAAGCGTGGCTGAAATCTTTATATAATTGCAAGTCAAAGTATTTAATGTGCAAGCTTAGTCTAAGTCACGATCTCTACACAAAATAAAACTAAACGCACCGAATGCGGTCGTTAATGTAAGGTACTACACTAATGACGGTACACTTAATGCATTAGTTGTAAAGTTCATTTTGCCGTGGATTCCCTTTATTTATATCTGAAAATTACTTCTGCTTTGTGTTGGCATAGAAGTTAATAACTTTGGTTTTCCTAAGACCTAATAAATTGAATGAACTATATCCTATGGACCTAATTGTTTAATTTTGTTTTAAGCAAATAACTTCAAATTACCTCTTTAGCGAGTGGTTGATCTTTAGGCCAATAATGTTTACTGGGAAACAGTATTTAGACAAAATCACTGAATGAAGAACTACAATCCATCAAGCGGAACCACAGGATTAACGTACACATAGGTGACCTATTATATCAGCTCAAATCTCTTGTTGGTTTGGGTAAATAAATGACATAGACCACGGTAGCAATTCACAGGAAAAGTGTTTCAACTTTTAATTTACTCAGCAAGTACATTGCAGCAGTTATGTACATTTGCATAAGCCCCGCAAGTTGTGGTTCACGACCGCTGTAATGCAGCTCATTTAGCAGGAATGATGCCATAACAGTGAAACTAATAATAAAAACTCATTATCGTTCAAGATGGTCCATCAGCACTGCACACATTCAAAAGAAATATAAACACATTTAGAGGGCGACAAATCTTTCGGCCGAAGTGTGACGCCTACCTGACCACCATCTAAAGCTAAAAATTAACACAACTGTTAAACATACTATAACATATTAATATTATTCAGCAGTAAATTTTTCATGTTTACCGACAAAAACAGCGGTTTTTCCAAACGCAAATACATACATACAGTTTTTCGATAAGGCTTAAAATACATTTATCTTCCCCGTATGAAATATTATTAAACAGACGTAACGCCATAATTCAATTTGATTTCGGGTGAGAAGAAGGAGTCGAGTAGAGAATTGTATAATGTAATAGTCAATCTGCATAATGTTGCCGTCAAACCCGCTCGTTAACGGGTAATACTGAGAGCCTACGCTGCCTGAATTAGGCTGGGGCGTAAATAACAGCGGGGAAGCGAGTGAGAGCGGAGGTAAGAAGGGCAAACGAGTCCTTTGCCCCTCTGGTAGTAAGTGGTCATCACAGCCTATAGAAGCTTGCGATTACCAGTACCAGGGAGTTCCTCTCGTGCGATACCTACTCTGACCACCCACCCCCATTGAATCTCAGGTAGCGTACTATAACAACAACAGAATTTTGTCTATAGTCTTCTTAAAACTCGACGAACTGAAGATTAAGACCAGACTGTCTACTATATCTTACCAAAGAGTATCAAGTAACTTTCGCCATATCGCCCGGAGAAAGCCTGACAACTTATGTATATAGGTTGGTTGTTGTAGGTAAGCTGAATAGTAAAAGACGAAGAGGCCGTTCACCTGTCCGTTGGTTACACCAAATAAAAAACGTAACGTAATGACTTACTCTACCGACTGCCCTAAGACAAGCCGCAGATAGACTACAATCTCTCCATTACACTCTAATAATAGTCTTAAATTACTCTTATAAATAATAAATAATCTTTGACTTGTTATCGTCTTGGTAAAGGCATTTCAAAAAAGGCACGACTGAAGAAGAAAACTAGAGAATGCCTCTAATTTTACACCTCCTCAGAAGGCTCACCTATTCGATCCTGTGTCTGATCCGCTTGCATACAGCCTACTTCTTAACAGGTACTCTTATAAATTATGCCATCCCTTATTATCACGTGATAAAAGGCATTATAGCTTCAAATGTGAGTGTTAAAGCCTTTGATTGCGACCGCCCCATCACGCAGAAACGACAGGATTAAGACGCCGAGTAAGGCACCTTCCTCACCCGATCGGTGTTTATGTTTCTGTACTGAATCTGTACAGATTCTTTACCGACAACAACGGCTCGGTTTCGGTGCTGTATCGTTCCGTATTGCTATTTGCTACGGTTTTGTTTGCGGGACGAACGAGACAACACTCATAACACTCGTCACATACGGTAATAATCGATGTACAAAGCCGTGTTTACGCTCGATAAAGAATCTATGCCAAAATTTCTAATAACATACACGCGGTAAAGAATCTATACAGATTCGGTACAGCGACGAAAACAAAACAAGCTCGCCTTAGATCAAGGTACATTTAATATCGTCATGCAATAGTAGCAATAGTTAGCACATTCGGTCTGCGATCGTGATTGCTAAGCAACTTATACAATAGTAAATTAGATAAAATGTATTATCTCCGTGCTTCGGGAGGCACGTTAAGCTGTTGGTCCCAGCTGCAGCTGTAGTTAGTACGCAGCAATCCTCACTGGGCTCACATGGCGTACATATTCCCTGTTCCTTCCGGATTAAGGAAGGCCAGTATCCCAACAGGGAGGATATTCATAAGATGTTGAGGATCATTGTCCTTTAAATAGATTTTATTGTAGTTAAAGTGAATTGTAAAAATCTTTTACGTGTGATCCATAATTGGAAAACTCTCTTGGTTTATTTTTTCGTTTGTTAAGATATGACGTTTTAGACTTACGTTAATAATGTTTTAATACAATGTAATTATTGGTGTTAGCGAAAATGTTAGACCAACAATTTCCATTACCGAGTCTCAACTTTTATGTAACACACACATTTTAGCTGAAAATCAATAAATATGAGAAATTCGTCAGGTTTTTATGTTACCTGATGTGTAATCGACTGTGTAATTCAGAAGAAGGCGGCGGCTTTGAACGTCAAGAGTGTATGTGACGTTTTTAGATTGTTTTCGTATTGTCAAATTGACTTCAACGATGTTTGCTAACTGCTCAAATGAATAAAAAACATGACTTCG